ATTTTGTATCACCTTTTTTGACTTCAACTTTACAAGTGGTCTCCTGGATTTTTTGTTGATTTGGATACGGACGAGAGGGATGATAGAGTGTCAAGCTATGGCTTCATTAGATGGAAACCTACAACACCTTCTGCTTGTGGACATGTAAGGAACTGTTAGAATGTCATATTTGATTCAGACAGCTAATATGTATAATTTTTAACATTTAGTCACCACTACAAAATCACTAGGTAACTGCTAAAGTATGATAAGGTCGTCTGACTGCTGTTTGTTATTAGTTTGATTAATGGTTTAATAATGTGTGTATTGATTACTGACGCTGGCTGATCACGCTAATTATCATCTTATATTGTTGTCAGTTTCTAATGGCAGTATGCTCGAAACTCTAAACACCCAACACTCTTAGGGCATGTTTTTAATCTACTATCCTAATTAAACGTGATATGGTTGTTTAATGGTGTGGTGTGTTCCTTGTGAAAGATCTTGTAGCGTGTACCCATATGCTGCTGATCAGTCATGTAGTATGAAAGCCACAACAAATCCAAGTATAGGGGTAATGTGGCACCATCTAGTTGATCTAGATGGTAGTAGTGTGGCAGAATTCTGGATTACTTGCAGAAGTTAAAGAGCTGACATACAGTACGCATGTTACTGTAGTCTACGCAAGACAAGACAAAGGCATATATATATGCATCTTTAGCTCAACAGTTATACTAAAATATCCAATATGATGATTTCACATGCCTTGAGATGAGGTTGACAGCTCCACTGGCTGTGCGGGGAGGAAAGAATTCCAGGGAGAACCAGCGGTCTCCGGACTCCATCCTCTTCCGCATCTTGTCCCGCAGCCTGTCCGACCTGTCTGCATCGAGCACCGGCGTGGAACACCGGGAGCTGTCCTTGGAGCTCTCCCCGCCGCTGTTGCTGGCCCCGCTGGAGTCGCTCTTGCTTGACTGCCAACTACCATCCCCTCGCTGAACCTGGTTCACCATGATGGCAAATTATACTGGGAGAAGAAAAGACACAAAAACAACTCAAATAATTTGAGATATTTAGCTATACCTTGACAGCACGGGACAAACGTCATACCAAACCCAATTCAACATTATTTGCCATTCATTGTTGATTATGTTTTTTGATAATGTATCTCATAGCATGAATAAATATTACAATAAATAATATAAATACTGCAGAATAAGGGCCACGTTCAAATTAAAGATACATTTTTAAAGTCCTGCTTGCCAACAGGGAACCCACACCTTATACTATGTGATCCCTTTACAGCAAGGATCTACTAACTATAAAGAAACCGGCTGGTTTGTGGTAGCTGTTAGTGATAACGTTGATAAGTGCCAAACACAGAGCGACAGAAGCCGCTCCACTTTATACTCAGTATATCACTCACACGCGCGCACATGCACGTGAAAAGTATGGTAGTAGCAAACAGTTATTTAGAGTCTAACGTTACTAGTTTTGTTGGCTGAGCACAGCATGCTACGTGACTCACGAGCGATGTTAGCTAATTGGCTATAACATTGAGAGAATACAGAAATAACTCAGACTCACAACAAGCTTGTCACTAAACCCAGGTACGTTCTCTTACTGCCGGAAATGAACGCAAACGTTTCTCCCCCCTCCCTCAGGTTGTCTTTGTGTTGCCAGACTGTCTTCTATCCAAGACAGAACATTAGCTGCTACAATGCGTGACACGCAGCCGGAGAGTCCATCAGACGGCGATATTTCCTTTCCAGGATGGCGATGTCATTTCCCTCCGTACTCTGCATTTGATTGGTTTACCCTGACCAATCTAACTCCTCACGCCTAACCCTAAACAAACAAAACCAATGAACGTAACGAGTACTAGCCAATAAGAGGCAGAGTAGAGCAGGTCATGACTTCACCCAGAGAATGCCCTTGGGAAAAAAATGATTAGCCATCGGGCGCAGTGTGGAGTCTAGGCTGCATTTGTTTCATTAGATATATATAGACCATATATTGTAAATGGGGAAAACATGTCGTTTATACACAACAGCAACGGGTGTGTCGCTACCAATGGTCGCTACTCGTGAGGGTTCGTGAAGTCGTTGTATAGACGATTTTCATATAATTTTTTAGGAACCTGATCCTGGCTCGAAGATTCTAATAAACTTTTCACACTCAAGCACACAATACATTTGAGTGAATGTATTATATGGTTGTTAATTTAGTTAAATGTAGTTGGAATTAAATACATATACGTTATAATCTCTTTATAACATATGTTAATAATAATAAAACAATAATTAACTGAATGTTGAAAGTGATTAGTTGTTCGGGGCACCAAATCAACATTTAGTTGGTTAATATTCGACTCCCCGCATGTAAATAATCGAGAATGCACTAATTTAAAAATATTGTGCATAAATTATACGCAGTTTTGACAATGTGGAACAACTTTCCGCCAATGGCGTTACATGACACCGCCATGCTGCATTTAATTGTCATTGGAAACATGAAAACTTTTTAAAGATAGCGACAATGCTATAAACATTGAATTTTAAAATCCAGTTTTAGGACACAGCTGAGTGTGTGTGACAGCGTGGACCTCTTATTTTTGGTAAAACATGCTATTCGATGCAGCACCTACTAAATGTGTTTTTAAGGTTTCTCAAGCGATTTGGATATTTTTCAAGCTTGGTTTCACCATAGACCGTGAATACAGCATGACACAACAGAGAAGATGGCGTGTTGTGGAAACTGTTTTTGTTGCCAATGTTGCTGCAGAGAAGGGGACACGCGGACACCCGAAGAACTGGTAAAGAAAGATAAAAGAACCCGGCCAACGCGGGATCTTGCTTATTTTATAATCACATACTTTTCCTCCGAATGTCCCCTGAGCTCCCCTCAGTGCCATTCTGGCTTGCTTGCTCCCCCACCCTGCTTCTCAGTGACTGTGTTCAGTTGTCTTACAAGCAAGCAAGCCAGAATGACCTTAAATCATTTCACAATGGATAACCGACAGCTAGGCTGAAACAGACAATATTCGTTCTTAAGGTGTAATTTTCCTCAGGGGTATATTGCTTTGTTGATTTTCCTTGTTCTTATGGCGACAAAGCTCTTCGACCAAGCTCCATTTATAAATGTCGCAATTTAGGGGTTCCTTTCTTTTTAATAAAGCTACATAACTCCCATAACACACTTTAGGCGTTATATGGCTTAACAGAATCCCTTCTTCAATTCGGCATGTTACATGGCAATCAGCATTGCACTAACAACTGTTACGTTCGTTTAAAGTACCCCGTTAAACCAACAGTCATTTGCATCCAGCCCTGTTTAAGTTTTGTTAGTGTTTGGCGGTATGACCAAAAACGTATTATTTGTTTTTGCATGACTGGTCTCAAGTTTCTAAAGGGTTATTCTACTGTTAGGAGTACATAGAAAATAAAAACATTTTTGGGTAATCATTGTGGAGAGTGGGGTAAGATGAGCCACTTTTTACTTATGTTGTCTTGGAGGTAAGGAAAAATGACACAGAAATAGAATGAAAACATATACCTTTATTTCAGGATGTCTCCTATCAAATGAAATTATCAGAATGCATTTCTGACAAAGCTGCCCAAAATAATGACTTCTCAAAAAAAAGTGCTCCTGTGGCTCAACTTGCCCCAGGTTAGGGGTAAGTTGAACCAAGTCAGTGGGTAAGTTGAGACATCTGGGGGTAAACTGACCATCTGAGTTTTAAAATGTAAACCTGAGCATATTGTGCTAACAAACAGTTTTAACAGTTTTGAACTTGTGAGAACAAACCACCAGTTAGTTTCAAAACCATTTAACCATTTAATCAAAACAACTATTCAATATTCCAACTGTCAAGGTTGCAGGGGAATATGAACTGTTGCTCCCTCCTTGCAGTTCCTCCAGCCTTTTGAGGTTGAGGTAGCTTCTTCAGCACATCACTCCGTGGGAAAGATGCTTCATCCTTTTCCTTGAATGCAAAGGTGGGTTTCTTACTGCCAGTGATCCCTCGGATTCTTCTGAGAAATCTGGCACTCACTTCGTTGCCCGCAAGGCTGTCAACCAAGCCAATGTAATGGTTGCTCCTGCATTTGTGGATGCAAATTTTACGGATGACAAAGTCCCGACTTACAGATCTGAGACATCTGGTTCAGCTTCTTTGCTTCGCTGGAGCTGCTCATTGCTCAGAAGTGTCATCAATGGGAATGGCAACTCAGACGCTTATCACTGCTTTTTCGCTCTGAGTTTGTTCTCTTCAGCTTTCCTTGCTCTTTGATGTTTTTCTGTTTTGCGCTTTCTGTTTACTTTTCCTCTCTTCATGGGACGTTCGATTTGCCTGTTTTCAGGTGTATCAGGTCCAGGGATTCTTGCCTCTCACCGCTTTCGGTTTGTTTGTTTCCTGGGGCTCCTGATTTTTGGGTAAGGTAGAATCTCAGTAGGAGCACCCAGGTATCCAGCATGGTTGGGTGTGAATTTGTGTCGCTTAGGTGAGCACTATGCATGTGCAGGCCTGGTGAAGGTAGCTCAGCAGAAGAAACCACTGGTGCATCCTGCAAGCGCAGGGCTGCTGCCCAGGTTGGGCCTGTCTAGCACCATGATGGCTCAACTCTGCATGGAGGAGCATCTCTGTTGTTAAGGGAAAATCCATGGTGGATCTGCAATCCAGAGGAGATATTCCGTGGTGTCATTGCTTGACATGAAAAGGGGGGGGGGCCATTTTTTTTCATTCACACATCCAGGGATGTGGTATAATGCTTGCTGTTCTTGACCCTTGGGTTGGATCTCATCCAACCATCAAGAGCTCTGTTGTAATAGGTCTTAAATGGACCATAACACTCTTGTCTAGAGGCTGCAAGCGATGGGATGTGTGGGTGGAATGTTCAGGAATAAACATACCATTTGTTTTTAGCATGTCCAAAAGCTTCAGTGAAATGTGGGCTCATGTTATCCAAAGGATTAGCAGCAGTGGCAGATCAGAGGAGCACTTGGTTGCTGAACCAGATGTTCAAGCAACTCAACGAAGGTTCTTCAATTCGATCCAGCCTGATCTGGTAAGACGGTACCCAGAATTGATCCTGGAGGCTGCTCTGTAATGAAGCTGGCTCTTGCTGATATCTAACCCTTGGGAAGGATACAACATGGGAAGGACCATGCATTAGCAGTCGCATCTGACTGCACAGACCCAGTCCACAGTCTCTCTTTCAGCAGACTGTGATGGCGCCCATTGCTTCTTTCCTTTTCTGCACTGACTTGGTGTCTGTACTGTTGTTACCCTTTTTCATCAACATTAATAAGTCATGTTTGGAGGGAATTTATGCCTGTAAAAGAAGAAAAGGAGCAAATGATGATGATCAGAATAGTTAAACCTTAAAGTATGCAAAAAATATTAGCAATGTCAATCATTAAATATACATGGGTCAATTATGCTTGGTAAGTGTCAGTTTGTTGTTTAATTACGCTTAACTGTTGTATGTAGTTGTCATAAATAGTTTATTTAATGTTTTCAAATATATGAATTGCTGTTAACCTGTTCCATCACGGTTGCCAGTTGGTCAAAGAACTCACAACTGTAGTTTCTATTTGTAGCTGTAGCCCTTCCAAAGATGTTCAGGCATACGGGCAGGAGAGCATGGGTGGCGTGCATAAGAAATTCATTGAACATCTTTACCTAAATAAAAGTAATGGTACTGTATTGAACACACAAAATTAAATTGAGTCTATGCCAACCTTACTGAGTCATGTTATTTCTTGCCCATCCTACCGGCTAAAAACTTTCTCTCTCCAGTTGCTGGGGGTGGATATAGTTCTTTCTGCAATTCCAATGCCAGTTCACGGAATTTCTTTGGAGTTAGGCCATGGAGACTGCTCTGCGAGGTTCTGATATGGTTTGCTAGCTCCTTCTCCACCTCCTTCTGAAACTCTCTTTGCTTCTGCTTGTCCCACCATACCCTACTGTTTTTACTTCTTTGCCTCCCTTTTTTTCTGTACCTTCTCAATGTTGACCTGTCAATATTTCTCTCTTTTTGCACTGATCTGGATGACTTTCCATCCTTTGAGCATCATTGGCTGCTTCTCCATCTCTTTCAAGTGTTGAGCGCCAGCTGTTTGCCTCTTGTAGGTTCTCGCATGATACCTTTTCCTACATATGAAAACACACAAAACCAGTATAATTCAACTGAAATACCATTTAACGTCAGAGACTTAACTGAATTTCAGTGCCTCATGGTGGGGTAAGTTGAACCATTGGCTCAATTTACCCCATAGCCTTTGGCTCACTTTGCCCCATAGCCACCATTTTGGAAAAAACGGGCTAGCTTAGAAATTCAGGCTAATCTTTAGTGAAGTGATTCCCATGATTTTATACGTTAGCAAATCACCAACATGTATAATATATAATTTTAGACCTGGAGAAATTTGCTTTGACATAACAGTCATTTTACCTCATATGCAGAAAATTTACTTTGACAAGCAAAAAACAGTTTTTGTGTAAAAAATACTTACCACTTCTCCCATGTGCTTCTTTGCATCACAGCAAGATGGAAATGATGGGTGCTTCCTGAATTTATGGTCACATGACAAAACATGTGCACGGTTACCTAGATACAAGGGGTGGGTCAACTTACCCACTGGCTCATCTTACCTCACTCTCCTCCTGAAAAGTAGCCTTACTTTTTATACCTACGCTAGACTGGAAAATAGCGATATTTAGCCCCTTTTCGGCCAGTAGTAGACACAAGCTTTTTGGCAAATTTACACCCCTGCTAGCGT